GGGGAGTGTCTGTATTCCAATAAAACTTTAGTAGGCAGCAAGCTGGATTCATCCTTGAGCCATAGTTTGCATATCTCAATCTATGGCATATTGTTACTTTATTCAACTTTAACATTTCTCAGGACATTTGGAAAAGGGTTATATGTACTGGAATCCCAGCAACCATAGGTGCATAAATTGTCAGAATGAGATAACGCGTTAGGGGTTAAATTTTGAGACAGCTTAAAGAAATGAAGAACCCCACTAAAATCAATTCTGCTAACTATTTTCTGGCTTCATTCTTGAGGGATGAGTTATCTTTCTAGCCTTAGACCTCTCCATCAGGTATTAGGTTCTCAGAGGTATTCGTATCCTCACTGTGAGGTCTGATAATTGAGGGCTCTGATTATGCCCATTCATTTTTAACACAATCTCAAGCTGTGCATTCTGGCCCCTCAATAATCCAAAGAAATAATTATCTAGATGAACTAAAGGTTGTCCTCTGAGAGCAAAAACTACAAATCAAAGCATATGAGTTACAACAAATATCTGTACATTTATTGTAAACCCCATGATGGTTCTTAGGCCCTAATACTAGAATATAAGCTGACTTCCCAGGACACGTGGATGAATAGAGGCATGCATGGAAAGATGGCTAGATAGGTGATAGATGATAGATAGATAGATAGATAGATAGATAGATAGATAGATAAGAACAGAAGAGAAGAGAAAAGAAGAGAGACAATGCTTACCACTCAAAAGAAAGACTGGGTCCAAAAGTGCAGGGGTGGTGGGAGGGGAAGGGGAAAGGAAAGAAGGGAAAGGAAAAATTATGAGAAAAGAAAAAAATGGAAATGAAATCTATGTAAATAGGCAAGGGCGGAGTGGGTGAAGGGCACACAGGTAATGGGGAAAAAATAAGAACCAAGATTCATCATGTACGGGTACAAGCACCCAATGATAAATGTAAACGTATTGTATACCTAAAATGTACCAATAAAATAATTTAAAAGAAAAAAGAAATATTGCTCAACCATAAAAGAATATAGGAAAATACTGGGGTTTCCCATTTAAGTGTCATCCAAGGACCAGGCTGCTCTTACAACCACTGCAAACGTCTCACTCATCTAGCAGAAACATCCTTGTTATGAGTTCAGACACAGCAAGCCATGGCAATAAACTTCCAATCATACTACTAACTCACATTATTCTCATTTCCAGCCACCTTCTGATTATTATTTGTTTTCCCATGAAGCTATTCTGCACATGTAGAATATGCTAATCAAACTTTGATAACTCCTCTGTTTCTCCAAGACTGTTTCCTATTGTGAATAAATTAAGTGGTCTCTATTATATACTTTGATTTCTGAGAGCCCTTGCTCATGTGGGTTTGTGATCCTAGGTCAAATCGCTCTGAGACAAAGGAAGAAAGACCTAGCTTCTTGCTCTTCAGAGATGGAGAGACCTCTCATTGCTCATTTCCCAGAGAGACTGCTTCTGGGTTTTGCATTCTTTTCTTGACTGGAACGTAACTTCAGAAAAAAAGAGAAAAGTAAAACAAAAGTTCAGTTTCTGTACTGACCAGCTTTCCCACTGCTGGGTCAAAATACCTGACACCCATAACATAAAGGAAGAAATGGTTTATTTGGCTCACGATTCCAGAGGTTTCAGTGTAGGCCTGGCAGGCTCCACAGCAGGAACATCATAGTGGAAGAGCATGGTATAGCAAAGCTTATCACTTCATGGTGGCCAAGAAGCAGTGCACAAGGGAAGAGCACCAGCAAGAGATACACACACTAAAAACATGCTCCTCCCAGTTACCCAGCTCCTCCAATTGGATCTCACTTCCTAACAGAAACTTCAGCTGTGAATATCATAGGATTAATCCACCACTGATAAGTATAGTGCTCACATGATCCAAGTACTTATCCAGGAATCTCTAAATCCAGTCAAGTTGACAGCTGAGCTTAACTGCCCCATTCCACCCCTTGTCAACTTGACACCCAAACACATCTCCTTAAATCATACTTAATCTCCAAATACAGACAATGACAAGGTCATAATGTGGCTATCCTGCTTACAACCAAAAACACATTAATCCCTTCACCATAGTCTCCACACTTCTGGCATTGCTCAAAAGTTGAAGTCAAAGTCTCCTCTGAGACTCAAGGGAAACCCTTAGCTGTGAACTCCTGTAGAAATAAAAAAAAAGTTATATATTCAACAGATAGAATTATACAGGCTAAACATTTTCACTACAAAAGGGAGGAATGGGAAATGAAAAATAACAGCATGAAAGGAAGACTTAAATCCAGCAGGGCAAACATTAAGTCCTGTACCCCATCTCCAGCACTTGTGATACACAGTGGTGAGAGGTAAGTTCCAAAATGCTTGGGTAGCCCAACCCCTATGGCCTTGCTAGTTACAGCTCATATGGCCTCTGTCTTAGGCTGGCTTTGCTTGCTACCTGCAGGTTTTCTCAGCAGAAATTCCATGTTCCTGGTATCTCTAACTTCCTGGCAGTTCCACTGTACTATCAGCTTCATTCCCCACAGTTTCATGCAATACCCTCTCAGGAGTATATTGCCTGGCCTCCCATGCTTTCCTGTGAATTATGTGTAGAAGCCTCCCTGACCCTACAGCTCTTGAATTCTGCATAAAGTAAAATCAGCATCACATGGACAAGGTCTGCCACCAAGGTGAGCAGTACCTGGGCCCCCTTGGACCATGACTGTAGTGGTCCCTGAATGCCTGGCTGGCTGAGCATGATGCAATGAATCCCAGGGAACTAATTCCCTGGGTGGCTTTTCTCAAATAGCAAGCCTAGAGCTCTTTCTTCAAATGACAGGTTTACACTTTTTTATTTTATGAAAAATAAAACAAAATAATAAGAGAATAACAACAGTTAATGCACTGTGTATCATTATTTTTAAAGTAGTTACTCAGAATACAAGGCATAGACCATAAAGACTCTTATAAGAAGAAACACACAGATAATAACAAAACTTTCTTTTCAATGAACTAAGATAAACTAATAATATAAGTGAAACAATTAGGAGTAAAATAAAATAGTATTGAAACAATGGAACATGTGATTTGGGTTTACATTTTTGTACTCTTGAGCCAGCAATGGGTTGAGTTTCACTGATTCCTTAAATTCCCTCACAGCATGTTTCTTCTTGTCCTGGTTCAAAGTACTTGGTTTCTTTTTAATGATGCTGATTCCATCAGCAACCACACCTTCTTTGGCCTCAAATTTATACATGCTTCTTTTCTGGCCAAAATTTAAGTTTTTCAAGTCCTTCTGTACTTTTTGCTCCAGATTCTCTTTGTAAAATTGGCTAAAAGCAGCCAGCACTACTCATGCCACAGCCTGAACTTTGGGCTGCCTTGAAATTTCCTCTGTGAGATAAATCAGTTCATAGCCCTTAAATTCAGCCTTCCACAAAGTCTCATAACATCAGCAAAATATAGATAAGCTCTTTGCCAGAGCATGCATGGCCTCTACTTCAATTCCCAATACAGTCCCTTCTGGAACATCTTGATCCTAGCCTCTACTGTCTCAGTTTTATCAACATTCTAATCTTCTGAACTCTGACCAGAAATATCTATCAGGCTCTGCTTACAGCACTGTAGGGGTCTCTAGCTCATATCTCTAAACCTTTCCAAATGCCTTTTGGAAACCAGTTCCAAAGGCTTTGAAACACATGGTCAGGTATAGTCACGGTAATGACTGTAATTCTATAGGACCAATTATCTGTATCGGTCAGATTTCCTTTTGCTGTAACAAAAACCCCTGACACCTACAATTTAAAGGAAGAAATGTTTTATTGGCTCATGGTTTCAGTCCATGGTTGGCTGACTTCCAAGACAGGAACATTTTAGAACAAGGGCATGGTGAGGACAAAACAGCTCTCTTCATGGTGGCTGGAAAAAGTGAGAAATATACCCCCTAAAGACACCTTCCAGTGACCCACTTCTGACTGGGTCTTACCTCCTAACAATACCCACAGATGAGTGCAGTGCCTCTGTGATCCAACCATCTATCTGGGAGTATTTTAATCCAGTTAAATTGACAATTAAGCTTAACAGTCACAGTTTATTTTCCAAGTCAACATTTTTCTCTTCTATATTCTCCAAGGGTACCAGTGTCCTAAAAACTGGGGCATCTGCCTCCTGGTGGCAAACATGAGTGCACCATGCACCCCCACAATCACTACTAGTCTTTAACCCTTTCCTCAACCATCTTAGGAAGAGGAATTTCTAGTCTTCCTTGGCACTGGGGAGCTCATTTACTCCATGATATGAACACTAATTTCCTGAAGACTTTGAAGTTCCTAACCTGATTTGGAAGGCCTGGCTTAACTAAGATCAGCAGTGGGGAGAAGAATGGGCTTTGTGAAGAATTAGGATGGTAAGGATGCAATGCCTTGAAAAAAGAAGGAAGGCTTTTGGAGCCCACTAGGAAAAGCTTCTTGAGTACATCTCTTAGGACTACCAAATATAAAACATAACCTCAGGGAAAGAAAGTGGGGAAGAATGGGAATCAGAGTAGATGACTATAATGGTATCATGATTCATTGTGTCCTTTACCAATCCTAGAACATATCATTATTTTAATGTCTCTATATTTGTGCTGAATACTTTCCATTTGTCCCTCTTGGTCTACCTTGTATGACTTTCTCTGCCCACAGTGCCACCCTGTATGGGTTACAAATGGACTCTCTTGCCCTCTGGCTTCTTCAGTACAGTGAATGAAAGGAACTGGCAGAGATCAGAGGGTAGAAGGAGACTGAATCAGGGAAGTTGTTGACTGACCTCTCACCATGCTGGAATCCCATTGCTACTGCATCCCATGGATATAGCTGGAAGGCAGCTATGTGTATATGAATCCCCTCTCTGTGTTCCCATAATGGCTTCTTCCCTCCCTGTCAGACCTAGGATGCTTCAGGTTATTGCTACGCCCAGGTTGATTTCCTCAAACTATGCCCACACCTTTGCATATACTTTATTGATCTCACCTTAAATTATCTGGATTGTAGGCACCACTTCTTTTCCACCAGGATCTTGACCATGTGCCTCTCTCTGCCTGAATGCCCTTCCTTGGCCATCTCTTCCTCATGAGCTCCTGCTGATACTTCAAGGAGGAGCAAAACCATCACCTCCTGTATGAGAAAGTGGAATAAGTAAGAAACACTGCTGACTGGAGTCCTGCAGATCTGGGACTTTGTCCTGGCTCTGCTCGGTGGTTAGGGATAGGTTTGATTCTCTGAAGATGGTGGTTACGGCACCTACCTGAAGGCTGGCCTGAGAACTAAGCCTTCAGAAAATGCTACTTCCCATCCCCATGGTATCAGCAATGACTCATACAATTCCTTTGCTCCCATAGCATTTGTATCAGCTTTACCGAAATGACATCCATACAGAACTATTCATCCATTCATAGTACATAACTCACAAATAGCTTTTGTATATTTGCAGAGTTGCGCATGCATCACCACAATCAGTTTAAGAACATTTTCATTACTCTGAAAAAGAAGTTCCACTTCCCTATTCAGCATCCCTTCTCCTATTCTCCTCCCCTTGCCATCCTTAGGCAACCACTGATCTACTTTTTGTTACTATAGATGTGTCTACTCTGGGCATTTCATATAAATGGAATCACATAGTATGTGCTCCTTTGTGACTGCTTTCTTTCACTCAGAGTAATGTTTTCAAGGTTTACTCATGTTGTACTAGGTATTAGTATTTCATTCTGCTTTATTGCCAAGTAATTTCTGCTGTAGGAATATATCACATTTTGTTCCATTCACTAGCTGATGGACATTTGGATGGTTTCTACTTTGGGGATGTCATGAATAACACTTCCCTGAGCATTTGCCAGTCTCAGGGTATTTTGTGCAGACCTACAGTACAGCTATGACCACACAGCATAACTCTCATTTGTTAGCACACCTGTCTGCTCTCCTCCCCATTCCCCATTCACTCACTTGTAAGGAGAGTTGCACTTTAGGAAATAAGGAACCATGTGGCCAGTTGAGTTTAAAAGATGAATGTGAGATTATTGATGTCCTGACTCACAGAGGGCTGAAGGATGAACAATACTAATTGTTCTCCAGCACTCAGATCTTGATATATCACTGTATATTTGAGAAGGGGGAGACAGAAAATAAAAATCAGTGTAGAGTCTGATGGGTCATGTGGCTCAAGATTGAAAAATTGTCCAGTAAACTAAGACAGTATATGTGTGGGGTTAAGCATTATATATGAAAAGAGAACTGTAGGAGGTTCTGTATATGGAGATGCATAGATAGGGTTTTTAGAATATAATGTTACAGTGATTGAAAGAATTCCCAAATCAGGATTAGACAAACATCATGGTTTTAAGACATTGATGTCTCAGCTATTATTAAACAAGAGGAAGAGAGTAAGGGGAGAGGGGAGGGAGATGTAACAGAGAGAAATAGGGGAATGGATATGATCAAAATATGCTATACACTGGTATGAAAATCACACACTGAAACTCAATATTTTGTAAAATTAATATACCCTAATACGTTTTTTTAAATGATGTCTCAAAAAACTACATGAGCTCACACATCAGATAAGGAATGTAAATGTGGATGAAGAGAGGTGGAGAAGAAAAGGTGGTGGGTTTAGCAGTGTCTGCAGAGGACAAACGAAATAAATTCTGGATGGATGAAAGTGATATATTGAGTCTGTATATTTGTGAGTACCATGGTAAGAATCATCCTACCATCCTTCTCAACCTTCATGCTTATAACTCGCAAGTGTAAAACCATCCTCCCTGGTCACCTCTCTTGCTTAGAAGCTATGCAGGGCCAAGAAAATATTAAATAATAAGGTAACCAAGTCAGCTGTTTGTCAACTTCTAAATGTTGACAAGTGATGTCACAGCCACTGTGGCAGTAACCAATTGCTTTTCCTGTTCCTTCCACAACAACAAGTGGCAGAGTGGGCTTGGAGATGCTATGATAAGACATCAAGAGAAATTATAAAACTTGCTGAAGTTCAAGAGAAAGGAGTGAAGGGCAACATAAGGGTCAAAGGAGATTTTTTCCCATAAAATACTTTTACAATGAAAGATCATTTAACTAGGATATCTGTGATCTGACCTCTTACAGAATAATGTATTTCCAGATTTGCATATCATAACCTCAAAGAAGCACAGTGATAAAAAGAAAAAGGGATCTCAGAAAATTCTGTGTGACCTGTGATATAGCAAAAAATAAATTAGCTTTAAAAGCATATATATCCTACAAGAATTTTTATCTAACATAAATGTTATAAACTAACTGAAGGTGTTAAACATGTCATCCTTTCGGATCCATTAAAACAATCTCCAAAACTGGGAGGGGAGTGACAAATATCTAAATATTTAACAGTAGAAACACAACAGATATATTTTACTCCTACACACAGAGTTTGCTTTGCACTTGTGCCCTGTAAAAATACTACATATGTAAAAAATGATGAATGACTTTTTAAATGAATTTTTTATTTTCTTTTCAGGAAATCCTTGTTGGTCTGTGGCACAGGTCCCGTGGACAGGACTTGATATGACAAACAACAGCACAGAAATGAAAGGAAGGAACAGTGTTCCAGCGTTGATGAAAAGATCCCTTACCTGCTTTTTCCAGCTTTAATTTCCCTTTTCTGGTTTCTCTTTCGGCCTCTACATCTGAGCCATCTCCTACTCAGTAATAAATGACATTTATCCTGTGAAATTTATGAGCTTTTCACAGTATAAAACAGCATTGGAGAAAGACAATCTTCATCCATCTATTGCAACCCCCACCGTTACAGACACAGTTCACTGGCGCTCGCAAACACCATTCACTTCGGGAAGTCCTTCTTCAATTATTATAATAAATGATTTTTAAAAAGTAGATAGTGGTTTTTAAAAGTCAAGGATACAGCAAGTATATGACAATTACATCACACACTCTTCTGTTTAGACTCCTGGATAAATGATGTACTAAACTTCATTAAATTAAAGAGTTCAGAAAAATGCACCTCTTACATTCAGTTAGGCGCAAGTGATGTATTTTCTATGAAATAAGAACAATCTGGCACAAAACATAAGTCCATTTAAATTTTTTAATTGAAAGAACAGTTGGCCAGGTATGGTGGTGCATGCCTGCAAGCCCCGTGGATCAGGGGCCTGTGGCAGGAAGATTGCAGGTTCAAGGCCAGCCTTGGCAACTTCATGGGACCCTGTCTCAAAATAAAAAATTTAAAAAGGCCTGGGGATATAGCTCCACGTGAAGGCTTTAGATTCAATCCCCAGTACTACAAATAAAAAAAGAACAATTGTACAGACAGGACTTAATGCTACAACACAATTTAAAGATGCACATTTAATTTTAATTTGAGACACAGTTATAAAATTTCTAAAAACTATTATAAAATCAATATGGAATGAGAGTAAAATGAGTATAAATGAGTACATTAGAAGCATTGACAGGTAAATTTTGTAGATTACAAAGATTCAGCTTATGAGCAGACATTTCTGCAGGAAGACAGAGCTAACAGATCAAAGCAACAAGCAAAACTTCAATAAGAGAAAATGTATACAAACTAAAACATTTTTCATTTCTGAGACTAAAATAACCAACTATATTTCAGGCAAAATGGACAAGCAAATGTGATCACCAAGGTATATAATAGTCAAATTTTCAAAGAAAAATAAAGAACTGAAAAGCATCTTTTAGAGTAGGCAACCCAGAAGTCGGGAGAAGAGGAATTCCTGGAAGGCATGGTTTGCTGTTGTAAACTTCACTTCCTTACCTTCCGGTTTATTCTCAACCAGTTAATTGTGATGTCCCCCTGCCCCGCTGAAACATCTCTTGCAAGAAAAACAAATGTCTTCTTGTTATTAAATTTAACAGATGTGGTTAAATCCTTGTCTTATTTGATTAGCCTTGAACATTCAACACCACTGCCTACTGTTTGGGGGGAGACATCTTTTTCCTCTCCTTTCCACCTTTTCTAAGTAATTTTATTCATTCTCCTTTTCTGGATTCCCTTTCTCCATTTTAAACACTGGCTAATCCACCAGCCTCTTCCCTTCTTGCCTTCATCCACATGGTTTCTGTGTGCAATTCCATCTTCTCTCCAAGCTTCTGCTGCCATCAATGTGCCGACAACCTCCAAACCCAAATCTCCAGCTCAGTGCTACCCTATAAGCCCCAAAACAATATGTTTTATTTCCTGTATGTAGCTAGACTTAACATCATAATTACTTTTCTCTCTCAAACTTGTTCTTGTGCCATTATAACTCAGCAAATGACACCATATGTATTTCACTGTTCAAACCAGAAATCTCAGTTAATTTCAACTCCTCCCCCCCACACACACATACACAAACACACAGAGAACAGTCAGTAACATGTTGGTTCAACATGTTAAATGTTTTCCACATCTCTGTAGTTCTCTCCACCCCCACTCTGTCACCTTAGCCCAAGCCTCAATTATCTTTCAACCATGTTCCTGAAGTAGCCTTCAATTTGGCCTCCTAGCAACAAAACGTGCGTCTCTCCTCAAATCCATTCATTCTGCACCCAAAGAGATCTTTCAGAATAAAAGGCTGGTTGTGTTAACTACCCAAGCCTACCATCCATAGCTATTTAAAACTTTCACTTTGGCTCTTCTTTTGGAATAATAACTTAAAACTCAATCTTTTGAGGGCTGGGGATTTAGCTCAGTGGTGCCACAGCCTGCCTCGCAAGTGCAAGGTCCTGAGTTTGATCCCAGGTACCAAAAAAACCTCCTCAATCTTCTGAAACCCTCCTCCTTGCATACTATAACCATCTCTATCTCTTTTGTATGAAATCTTGCAGTATTGCCTGATATGGCACCTCCTTCTCCACCCCTGCACTGGCATAGAATTTTTTTCTTTGTCTATATATTTTCTTTCCCTCTCACTTCCTATCTCTCAACCTGGCCAATGTTAGCTTATGATGCAGGTTTCCTCTTTTAAGTTGTCACTTCCTCAGGAAAGTTTCTCTTTCCTCCGTGGATCAAATTATTCTAGCTATGTGTCCACTATTGCCCTCTTAACTCTGATAACATTCCTCATACTTCTAATTAAGTATTAACAATCAGTCATCCACAATTGACTCAAAGCAACAAGAACTCTCAG